GGGGGGGGGGGGGGGGAAGAATTTTACAAAAAGTAAAAGACAAATCTAAAAAGGAGAAAGAAAAAGAAAAAGAAAGAAAAAAAGAAAGGAATTAAAGTTATGAAATATAATGACTTCTGACCTTCTCTTCAACAGATAATTACAATCTTATAATCCATCCTCCCTCTTAGATATTATATAAATACCTCAGCCCCAATCCACTTTTTTTTTTAATCATCAAACCCATAAATCATCATATCATTTTTTTCTTCCTTCAGCAAAAAGTCCATATAAGGTTTCCAGTCTTTCAGAAAAGTTTTTATTGTTTTTTCTCTGACTAAGCAGGTCAGCTTTGCCATGTCAGCAAGTTCTGATATTTTCACAATCCATTCCTTCACTGTGGGAATTTCCTTATTTTTCCATCATTGAGCATACAATAATCTTGCTGCAGTTACCATATAAAAAATCAGTCTTCCACAAGCCTTTTCTAATTCATTGTCCATAAGTCCCAATAAAAAGAGTTCTGGCTTTATCATAATATTTATCTTTAAAATCCTTTGCATCGTCCTATGAATTTGTATCCAATTCTCACAAGTCCACCATGCATGATAAAATGACCCCTCATATTTTTCACATTTCCAACACTGGTTTGGAATCCTTTTATATATTTTTGATAATTTCTATGGCATTATATACCAATGATCCCTCATTTTATAAAAGTTTTCTTTTAAATTGTAACACTGTGTAAATTTAATACCCACATTCTCTTCCAAGTTTTCATCTGTATGTTATACCCAAAATTAATAGCCCATTTTGTCATGCAATCTTTAACCTGTTCTTCTCCTTTCAAATCATAACAAAATTTTATATATTTTTGCTATTACATGTTCATCATTTGTGCATAATTCGGTTTCAAATTCTGTTTTACGTTCCAATTCTAACACTTAACCAGCCTTTTTCAAAGCTAATCAGTAATTGTATTAAATGCCTTCCTACAGCACCAAGTCAGTTGTCTGAATGAACTTCTCATTAGAAGCATTCTCTTTCTTGTCAGTAGGTGTGAGACAGAGGCACTTAGCAAAATTGTCATTTGTTGAATCTACCCCTTGACTGTTATTTGCTCAAATTACTGTGGATATTAGGGCACCTGACATGATATAATTTCTCCCCAAAACTAAACTTTTGGATATTTCTAATTAGGCAAACCTCTTCATGGATCACTGCCTTGTCGTGGCGAAGGGGCTTGTGTAACTCAGTGAAGCCATGAGC